TTTATCCAGTCCGATACCCTGTGTCTTTTGATTGGGGCATTTAGCCCATTTTCATTCAGAGTAACTATTGAAAGATATGAATTTAGTGCCATTGTATTATCTGTAAAGTCACTGTTTCTGTAAAATGTCTTTGTTCCTTTCTGGTCTATGTTACTTTTGGGCCCTCTCTTCACTTAAAGGATCCCTTTTAATATTTCTTGCAGGGCTGGTTTAGTGATCACAAATTCTTTAAATTTCTGTTTGTCCTGGAAGCTTTTTATCTCTCCTTCTATTTTTTTTTAATTTTATTTATTTATTTGAGTGAGAGAGAATGAGAGAAAGCACAAGAAGGAAGAGGGTCAGAAGGAGAAGCAGACTCCCTGCTGAGCAGAGAGCCCGATATGGGACTTGATCCCAGGACTCCAGGATCATGACCTGAGCCGAAGCAGTCGCTTAACCAACTGAGCCACCCAGGCGCCCCTCTCCTTCTATTTTGAATGACATCCTTGCTGGATAAAGTATTCTTGGCTATATATTTTTCTCATTGAGCACCCTGAATATATCATGTCAGTACTTTCTGGCCTGCCAGGTCTCTGTGGATAGGTCTGCTGCCAGTCTAATATTTTTACCCTTGTAGGTTATGGACCTCTTGTCCTGAGCTGCTTTCAGGATTTTCTCTTTGTCTCTGAGATTTGCAAGCTTCACTATTATATGTTGGGCTGTTGACCTATTTTTATTGATTTTGAGCGGGGGTTCTCTGTGCCTTCTGGACTTGGATGCCTGTTTCCTTCCCTAGATTAGGGAAGTTCTCGCTATAATTTGCTCCAGTATACCTTCTGCCCCCCGCTCTTTCCTCTTCTTCTGAGATCCCAATTATTCTAATATTATTTCACTTTACGGTATCACTTATCTCTCAAATTCTCCTCTCGTGATCCAGTAGTTGTTTATCTCTTTTTCTCAGCTTCTTTATGCTCCATCATTTTGTCTTCTATATCACAGGCTAAGTAATCTGCTCGGGTTTGCTCTCTGTGGCTTTTGTTCCCTGAAGGCTTTCTGCACAGCTTTAGAGGATGAGAATGAAAATGGCGGCCTCCCAATCTCCGGCCCTGGAGCCCAAAGCTCAGGGCCCCACTCCTCAGTTAGCCCTCAGAGAAAAGCAGTCAGTCACTCCTGTCTCCCTCATCTCCGACTACACTCCGTGCTCATCCAGCCTGTGACCGAGCATTTCTGTCTCAGGCACATGACCCCATTTCAAGTCTCCAAACCCTGCAAGCTCCTGCGGTGTGCACCTGCACCGTTCCTCCCAGGGGAGGAAGAGGGGTTTGTGGTGGTTCTGCCAATTGCTGGGTCCCTGGTCCGAGAGCAGTCACCTGACCGTGCCTTGGTTCACAGTTTATGGCAACCCCGAGCTGAGAGCCCACTCCTCAGCTTGCTGATTACAGCCGTCTTCCCCGCTCCGATGCCTGGGAGCTCTGCCACACTCCGGCACCTCCTGAGGTCACACTGTCCCACCTAGAATTCTGCCCTGTTTCACCACCTGAGCACCTTTCAGGCAGGGGCGTCACTCACAGGGGCAGACTTCTAGAATTTCTGTTTTTGTGCTCTGCCGCTCTATCACTTTCCAGTGCCGGCTGATGGAGGCTCCCTCTCCCCATGGTTTATCTTCCCATATACCGCCTTGGATTCACTTCTGCATACCTCCTACCTTGCAGAAAATGGTCGCTTTTCTATTTGTAGAGTTTCATCTATTCTTTCCTTAGATCGCCGTTTGAGTTTGCAGGTGTTCAGAATGATTTGATAGCTATCCAGCTGAATTCCTAGGATCAGATGAAACTAAGGTCTCCTACCCCTCCACCATCTTG